TTGCACTTATTTGAATTAGGAATGCTCAAAGACCATCATTTTAGTGCAAAGAAATCCCATTTGATTATTAAGGAATAAATCAGCTGGTCCAAAGTACAGTTCTGCCATTTTAATACCAACTTGAGTAGCACTCACATTTACACCTTTAATCCCTTCCCTTCCCTTCTTCTCGGAAGGATAAACATGTTAACAACAAGGAGGTGTCCAACTACTAATCAAAAGCAATAGAATACCACCAGATCTGATCTATGATGAAATAAGGAAGAAATGAGTGTGAATCTAAGTACCTTCTCCTCGTATCAGAGCCTCTACATTGTTTTCAAGAGCTTTTTTTTTTTTTTTTTTTTTTGGTAGGCAGTGATGAAAGGCTGAGAACAAAGTGAGTAAAATTTCCTTTTACTGCTTAAAAATTCTCAGCTGGTTTGCTATATCAAAAAGCTGTCTCTTTAAACAAATCACACGGTTAAAAATGCCAAGTTATAATTCAGCAACTAACTCAGAAAATGACAATTTAATCAATCAGAACCAACCCTCCTGAAAAAGGAAGAAAAAAGAATCAAAAAAAATCTTCAGGCTTTCATGCGATGTGAGTGGTTGAAACTATAAAAAGGTTCAATCACTGTAGAACAAGCCTGCAGCATCAATGTTTATTAAAGTCAGGGGAGCCATTTATTGACCTGGGAAATAGCAAACCACCAGCAGCACTGCCAGATTGCATTTTTACAGTTAACAAACGGAAGGTTGATATTTTCCTTTTCTCTTTTAATTGTGATTCCATCAAATCCAAAGAGTTAAATGCATCTCGATTTTTAAAGGAAAGCAAAGAGGAGCATTCTCTGCACTGATCTCCAGTCAATCTCTCTGCTCTGAGTCCTAGCAATGGGAGATGTTAAATTATTGTAACACAAGATCAAATTTTTAGGTTTATCTGCATCCCAGAAGAATGACAGGCTGGTGTCTGCTCCCCCCTGCACTTTAGGTGATGGTAGAAGATGAGGAGCTACCATTATCAAGATGCTTCTTTCTGTAATCAAATGGAATTATTGTATTTATTCACATAAAGGTCACCCTGCCACTGAGACAGCCAAAAGCACTTAGAATTAATTGTCTTCTCCCAAACTGACAACAGGCACTTTTTTTTTTTTTTTTTTTTTTTTGGATAAAAACACAGCTTGGTTGTTCTGGAGATTTTGTAACTCTGTTTTGCTACAAGCATTTTTATTTTTTTTCAAGTCACACCTTTTTGTGCTGCATAAATTGTAAGCTATGTAAGGCTATTAAAAGGAAAGCATCAGCAATGTGAATCGTGCTTAAGCATCTGTGCTACCCACATTACACGAGCTGAGCTTCTGCTTCATTCTTTGCCCAGCCATGAAAAACCCTGGGGTTAGCTGAGGAACATTCAGTGTGTGTCAGCTACCACCTAAACCAGTGCCAACCCCAGAAAAGGGGACTTCAAATGCTGTGAGGATGAGTCAGGGCAGCTGGAGCTGCCACGCCGCACACTGAGGCTGAGAGCTGTAACAAACCCGTGTGTCCTCTGTGGGTTAGGTACAAAGCGGATGGGCAGGCAGGTTATACATGCATGCATCAAAGGTAATAAATATTGGAACAAATCCCCGGCCACCCAGGACCTTTGGACTTGTCGATGTGCTGCATGCATTAGCGGCTCACGGCTTGGTGGGAGCGAGGGAGATAAAAACCAAATCCCCAAACCGTGTGTCTGCTGCTGCTTGGGGAATTTCACACTGCTTCTGTGCAGAGCACAGGGCACGGAGCTGTGTGTCTGATTCCACCCCATCACACACAGCATTTCACACTTCTCTTTCAGGTTTGCAAACACACCTGCGGCAGCTCTCCTTCTCATTTTCGTTTCCTCATTCATAGAGAAAAACACATAATATCCTCACTTAAAACACAGTGGAGGAGTTTGACACAAATTAATGACTCACCTGTCATACTATAAGGATTTTGATATTTGCGGGGGGGGGGGGGGGGGGAAGGCTTTGAGTATTTTGAGACATGTAAAAAGGTGCTTCACGATTCAAAGACAGCTCATAAAAAATCGAGTCAACTGATGGGTTGGTGTAAGGTCTGAGATAGCAGTTTCGTGTTAAAATCACAATACTGAAAAAATATGAATAAATAAAAGGTTACAGAAAGTGTAACCCACGAGTTCCCTCAGATTAGACCCATTGGCATGAAATTAGTTCACAACTGTCACTTGTGTTGTTTCAAGGGAGATTACTTCTTAAATAACGTTAACGGCAACTTTGATTTGACTTCTGTAATTACTGGAGAGAGAAGGGACTGCGTTTCCTAGGAAGAAAGATCTTTTATCTGTCTGCTTAATGCATAATCTTTGATGAGATGAAGCTCCTTTCCCCTGAGTTATTTCCCTGAGCATTTTTTTTTTTTTCTAAAAGAAAAAGATTTTCAGGTTGAAAACAGAGCTGCCATGTCAGAGCTGGGGGAGAGCTGTCTAATTGTCATTTACAATGACCCTTGTATCTCTTCTAAAGGGAGCATCCCTTCTACCTTGTCTCCTCACCCTCACTCTGTCTAACAAGCAGGCATCTTTACAGGGCTGGATTCTTCTCTGGCCTGCCTCCACCACCACCAGTAAATCATAAACATTTCTCCTATAATCAATGGAGTGTCTTCAGATTTACCAGACAGTATAATCTGGTCCATGAGACAGCTGATTGTTATCTATAACCTCCCCATCCAATTCTAGTGATGGCAGATGTAATCCAAAAATTTCCTTTAGGCTTTTTTACTGCCGAAATAGATCAAATTCTGTGGCAGCCTCTTTACAATCTCCACTTTTCTAAATAAACATCACACAGCCCGTGCTGCGTTTACAGAAAAACACTTCTCCCTGTCTGCCTGAACGCATCGAGGCGGGCTGTCAGCTGATATTCTGGCACACGAGACAACCAGCAGCAGCATCTTTGTGGGAGTCCATGGTGCAGCGCTTAGACCCCAACCGTTCATGGGCTACCAGAGGGCTGAGACTGTCGATCCCAAGCTCTTGCTCACCAGGAAGAACACAGAATAATCCTTACGGTTAGATGACTTCAAAACCCTTTGCATTGTTTCCTCCCCGCCCCCTGCTAGATACTACATTCCTGCAAGCCATTTAAAATTATTTGATTACAAAGATGAAAGAGTTGGTAGTGTCACATGAAAGGTATCATACAACAGGTATATGCCATGGCTGCATCCACGAAATACTGTAAGCAGAGGCTGCAGGGACTGACAAAACCTTGTTATGCTGGCAGGACAGGGCGATGCACAAAGAGTTAGAAATAGCTGTTGCAAAGGGCACCAAGCAAACCAGGCATAGCCACTGCTCAGTGGCTGGAGACGTACTGGTGGGGTACGCGGTAATGTATTTAGGAGTCATCTGAAGTACGTTTCCAGACTATAAATTAACTGAAACTACTCAGAAAACAATAAATAAATAAATAAATAAATATGGGTAACATTGAAAACTATGCAATTAAACACAGGGCTCCAATGTACAATGATCAACAAAAAGCAAATACTTTATTAGAATGCATGGCAAAGAGAAAATAAGGCCAAAAGTTGGGAGCTAATGGAGGTACTGTGCTGTTGTATTAACCAACAGTGTTCCCTTATTTTTTTTTTTTAAATAAGATACAAGTATAGTCATTCTTTGACACACATTTGTATTTGGAAAACTGCTAAATTCTTCCAGGTTTCTTTTTATGAGAAGCGCTGGTAATGTTAGTGATGGAGTGAATAGAGAAGGATCTAAATGTGAGGCTGAATGAAGCCGGAGAGTTCCCAAACTCGGAGAGAGACTTTCTCTTTGGGGCCTGGAGTTTCAGAGCACCTCCCAACTCATTTACAGAGCCTCAAAATGAAGGTGTTTTGCCAATATGAAAATTAAATTCAGTGTTGTGGCTCACCCTTGAAGTGGTTGTGGCTCTGAATGTGCTTCATTCATGTTTGTGGGCATTTTAACCCATTGGGCTTAACTGTGTAATAAATATACCTGGATTTGTATAATTCCTTCTCCTCTCCCACTGTAATCAAGCTTTGCTCTTCATTTTATGCTTTTATGGGTGCTATTAGATCATAAATCTTTAAAAGTTCTTCAAGCTCACTTTGACCTGCATCCTGCACATATGGGAACTTCTCTTCCTCGATTGCGTTTCTGAGCACACCAGTTCATTACAGTTTTGAACACTGAACTCTCACTCTTACTACTTTACTGCCTGCTTTATGTGCCAAATGTCAAAACAGGCATCAGAAATCTGATTTATGAGGATGTATACAAAAATTGTGGTTCCTGCTTGTGACTGGGAATCAACTAGCAATTTCCTACCAGGATTTCTATTTAAGATACCAGGGCCCAGCCTGGCAGCCTAAAGATGGCACTGCCAACCTTGAATTCAAAAATCACCATCCAAGACCCTTGAAACTTCTTGTAGTATCTTTGAACTTACTTGCTTTCCAATTTTAACCACATTTGACTAACCTGTGGGTCTTTTGCAAGTAAAAGTCAATGCTTATTTTCAAAAATTGAAAGCCGAACAAATCGAGCAGTCTCCAAATGCCAATATGCAAAAGATTTGATAATCTCTTTCCTGTTACAAACATCAGAAAGGTATGGATCAACCCCTAAGCCTCCAGAGCACACAAACGTTGATAAGAAATCTAAGCTTCCCCTACTAATTTGCCATTTTCCATCGATTTATACCCTGCTCACAGAAGCACTCCCCCTCACCCCATACACCCAGCTCTATACAGCGAAGCTGCTGCTTTTTAATCGCTTCTTTTCCATCGGCCGTGCGCCCTGACGGCCCCCGCAGGCCCCGCCGCTCCTTGGGGCTGGGCCCGGCCCTGATCGCGGAGGGTGGAGCCGAGCCGCCACCGCCTCCTCCCCCGGCTCCCCCCCGGCCTGCGCGGCCGCGGCGCTACTCGAGCTCGGGGATCCAGCGCGGCCTAGTGCCAGCGCCGCGGCCGCCATGGCCGGGGAGGTGAAGACGAAGCTGTCCAAGAACCTGCTGCGCATGAAGGTGAGGCGGGGGGCGCCGGGCGGGGAGGGGAGGAGAAGGGGAGGCATGGAGCCCGAGCTGGGGGGGGGGGACGGGACGAGGAGATGGCGGCCGGGCTGGGCCTAAGCTGCGGGGCCGCCCTCCGAGCCGCCCGCCGCCGTGGCTGTCCCTTAGGGGTGTGCGGGGATCCGCAACTGGGTGCCCCTTGCAGGCTCTGGGGACGATTTGCCTTCCTGCATGTGGTCACTCTGCTTCTGCCCTGTTCTGACACAGGCACGAGTGTCTCTCTTGTGTTTTGTACTCTGCACGTGGCTTTGTTTGCTTTTTCTTTACAGCTTTTTGCTCAAACTTCACTAGCAAGAGGCTGTTTTAACGAGCTGCCCCAGACAGGGTTTCATTTTTTGTCTGTTTCCACTGATAACCAACAAAGTGCCCAAGCACAACGCCTGGCCCTTTACCACCTTCCTCCATCTTTTCCCAGTCACAAACACAAGGGCTGTCTGCTTACTGGGTTCTGGTGCACGTTGCATAACACAACGCCTAATTCAATAAAGTACATTCTCCTGTGAGGGATGAGTCTTTAATGATGGAAAACAGACACTAGAAAGTGTCTACACAAAAAGACAAAAAAAAAAATGCCTTTTTTTTAATGTTAATACTCATTACTTTTTTATAAGTGATTAGCCTTTGTGGCTTCTCGTTTGTGGTGTTTTATTTAACATGCGGGTTTTTTTCACCTATTTATGTGGGACCATGTTTCAGAAACTGCCTGAAAGGTTTTAGCTCCATATAAAGTGGGCTCTGTTACAGTAAGATTGTGCAGTATTTACCACAATTAATAGGTACTGCTAATGAAAGGCTAACATTTGTACACAGGGGAAACAAAATGCATCCTGCCTTGCTCCCAAAGGTAAGTAAATGATGGGCTTAGTTAGCCAGCAGCACAGGACAGAGTAAGACTCCCTTAACCTAGATTGCAGCATCATTGATTTTTGTTACTTTTTTGTAATACTCTCTTCTTAGGTGAAACTTATGCTGCTGGTTTTTGCCAGTTTATTAACCCTCCAGAGATTTCAAAGGCTAGTTTTTAGATTTCCTTCCTTGGAAGGCTGTGGGGAACCAGACTGTGAATGTGGTGCTGTGACATTTGCAGATTTAGAGTCCAGGCAGTAGTAACCAGCTTAGAAGAGATGAGTAGGTTTTGAAAAGGTCATACACAGATCATGTGCTTAGCACTTTCATACTGCAAAACCTGTTTACAAATGTTTTAATTAATCTTTTAGCAGCTGCCTCCACGGGTAGTGATAAGATGTATCATAACAATTTAGTAGGCAGGTGAAGGGGCACCCAGAGGTGGCGTGTGGTCAGTGGTAGTGTTGTGAAAACCCTTTTCACCAAGATCCAGACTATGCACACCTCTTGATGTCAAATGGTGGCTCATGCTTTTAGTTCCTGTACCATTTGATCCAGGTCCCATTGCTTGGGGGAACTTACCTAAATAATCATGCAGTTACTGCCTTACATACTCTGCATCTACCATGGTTGGTATATTTTTAATTCATTCACGTGTGTTTACATTTCTGATAAACACAATCACATTTTTTTTTCATCCAGCTATTCCTGTAGTAATCGTGAGGAACATAATCTTTAAAATGTAATGTGGAATGATTATTTAATTGCGTGCTTGTAGCAAAATTTCTCCTGTTGAGTTTTCTGACTGGCTAACCAATTTCCTTGAGCAATATGGTTTTCCACATGATAGATTCCCTTATTTTCCTCAAGTAGATACTGTAATTTTAATTGGAAAGCTTTGACATATTTTGGGTCGACTCAGAAAACAAAAGTCAAGTTTTCTTTCATTAAAGATCTTGTACAAATGCATACAAATAGAAATATAAAAGGAAAATGAGACACTATATTGGCTTATATGTCAGGGTTTGGTTTGTTTTGCCTGGACATTTTGTAAAGACTGAGAAAATGTGGGTATGTACACATAATATATATTACATATATGTATTACCTATATACTTTAAATCTCAGTAATTTTGGATTTTTGTGGGAGGGAAGTGTGTAGTGATGTCTTCTTGGGCCTTATGCCCAAGTCAAGCGTGCTGTAGCTGGGACCAAAGCTATGACCGAGTCTCTGCTAATGTCTGAAAGACAGAAGAGCCCCACCGGCATGTTATCTGTCAGCCTGCAGGCTTATCTAAATACAGAAATGATGCTGCTTTAAACGAAAGGAGTACGATTAGTTGATATAAAACTCCTCTGCAGTGTTGTGCCTACAGGTTTGCTTTGATTGCCACAAAGCAATTTTTGTACAGAAATGTGTATAAACAGCACTGGTAGCCTTGTCTCTTGCTGTGAATTATATCGGTATAAATGTGCACCTCTGTCAGAGGCAGTTACTGAAACACTTTCTGTAGGCCCAAAGGAAGGTCCCAGCTCCTAGGGATGTGAGAATGTAAGGATCGCTCCTGTAAAGTCGTGAAGAGTTCTGTTTTCTCTCCTGTGCCTGGAGAAGTGAGTTAACTTTGTCAATACTTTTAAATTGTCAGTCAGTTCAGGCACCAGACTTGATACAAATGGAAGTATAAGGGATGTTGCACGTATCTCAGGTCTGTGGTTTTGCACTCTCAGCAATTTGTCATGGGCCGTGACAAATGCCCTCTTCTATTCCCAGCTACAAGAGAGGTTACAGCTCGTATCTGCCTGTTCCCGTTCCCTGCCAAAGGCTATCACAGACAGAGCAATTGGCAGGAACGTCCTTGTATTAGGCAGAATTAGCTGTCTTACCCTAAAGTAATTTATTGATCTCACCTACCTTGGCAGGCTGTTCCTGAAGTGAGTTAGCAGGTGTTTACCATACTGCTTGACTAGTAGTTTGGTGGGTCATCAATGAGAAGTTAAGAGTTGGTAACATCTTCCTTTAAAACAGTTGGATGCAGAAGATGTCATAGCCTCGGTTACTTATTTCAAAGGCAGGTTCTAGCCTTCTGGGTTACAAACACAAACTAGTTTGTAATATGAAATCTGAGAAAAGAAGATGGTTGAAAATACAGAAGTTTCAGAAAGTCACCAACTGGTATGACCAACATTTAGGTCACAGCTCCATTTAGGTCACAGTACTGTTTGGGTGTGGGGGGATGGTTTCGGATATACTGCAAAATCTTTAATTAGCATTACATTCTCTCTGGCCTTTGCTGAAACAGTAGAAATATCTTGGCTAAATTGTGGATTTGTGACATCTCAGATCCATCAAAATTTTCTTTTTATCTAGGTGCAGACATGGCTGACTGTTGACTTCCAGTCAGTCCAGATTGTTGTGATGCACAGATGTTTACTTTTCTGTTGTCCGTTTGCCCAAACTCAGATTAAGCCCAGAGAAGATCACAACAAGCATTTAATTCTTATATCAACTGTTAAGTATGTAATGGATAATTACGATTATGTAATTATTGCCTGTACAGAACATACTCAAAAGAGATTGAAGTTGTGCGTTTTTGTCTTTATTTTCAGTTCATGCAAAGGGGTTTGGATTCACAAACTAAAAAACAACTAGAAGAGGAAGAAAAGAAGATAATTAGTGAAGAACACTGGTATCTTGATTTACCAGACCTAAAGGAGAAAGAGTAAGCTTGTACTCTTGTATCACCGTTGCATTGTTGTGGGGTGGGAACAGAATTTGTTTTTTTTCCCTTTAGCAGAAATATTACTGATAATTATTAACAGAATGAAAAAAAAATAGTGACAAACTGGCATTTCAGCTTGTTATATTTTCAGGGACATTCTTAAGATTGCCAAGTCCGGTTTGACCTACTTTCATTTCTTGCACGCTTTGTCTTCTTTCACTCGCATTTTCTTCTAGATGCATGTAATTAGTTTCTTTCAGGCAGGGACCAATTCATTCATTGCTGCTTTTGCCATTCATTTGAAAAAAGAAGTTTGAAACTTTGTGTTAGTAAATTGAGCTTCAGTCACATGTGTAGGCCCATTCAGGACCGCGTCTTCTTGAGTCCAGCTCACTTCAAGTCCTGTTTTTGAAGTAGGAGAGATAATGGATGAAGCAAAAATAAAGGAAGGCTTAGCTAATAGGGAAGCAAATGTCCATTCCCACTATTTGGAAAGGCACTTTAAATAGCAAGGGAACTACTTTAAAAATAGTTTGACTTTTGTCCTTTAAAAAGAGAACAAAAATTCTATTGAGTAAGAATGTATATAATTTATAAAAGCTGGGATCCAGAGAATTAACTGTAGTTGAATAAGGTCATTCATAAACTATTTTCCATGACTGTTAGTAGATATGACAAAAAGGTATTTGAGCTTCAGTTGCAGCAAGGAAGGTTCAGGTTTGATATTGGAAGGTTTTTTAACAATGAGGCTATTGAAGCACGCGAATAGATGGCCTAAGAAGACTGGTTTCGTCGTCACTGGAAGTCTTTTGAGGACAGGCGAGGTAGACTTGTGCTGTTCATAGTTCACGTTTAGCTGATCCTACCTTGAGGTAGGAGAATGAGCTGGATTTCTTCAGCATGATTTCCTATGCCTGTAGGAGTTTGTTTTAAATGAGAGATGAAGAGGTAGAGAGAAGGGATGCATGTGTGTGAGAGGAAAAGAAGGATGGAACAGTTCAAGGAAGTACTTTTATCTAACGTGAGTGTTATGGACGCCTCGGAGTCATGTTTCTTTTCTTTCCAGGCTCATGGAAAGGAGGAAGAAAGAGGAAATCTTTCTCTGCTGAACAGAGAATTACACAGTAGTTTATAACCTGACAGACTCAACTAATTCCAGGTCTAACATCACAATGAAAAATTAATTAGAAGCTTTTGCTGGTATAGTAATGCCACCTGGAGAGTGATATTTATGTGGTATTTTTATTCTGGCAAAAGCATTAATGTAGGTGGAATCTTACCAGCAAAGAGTGCTTTCTGTCAGGAGAGTTAATTTTGCTTGTGGAACTGGCACAGCTTTGCTGGCAAACAGTATTTCTTTGCACTCCAAGCTCCTTGCATTGAAAGATTTATCAGAGCAATTAAGCTTCAGAAAGTAGTTGATGGTATAAAATACACTGTGGTTTTGTTTATTTGTGTGGGGGAAGACAGCAAATGCTTTTTGCATTTGTTTAATTTGATTATATTAAAGTGCACTGTTTGACAAATGCTGGGTTTGGGTTTTCATGCAGGAGCTTTATAATAGAAGAGAGAAGCTTTATGCTGTGTGAGGATCTACTTTATGGCAGAATGTCCTTCAAAGGATTCAATCCGGAAATTGAGGTACTATTTAAATATTCTCTTTTGAGGTGGTCTCACATTAGGATTGAAACCCTTGGGAACAGGGATTTTAGTGTTCACCCTCCATGCTGCCTGGCCTTTGCAGCACCTTCAGTAAATTCTCTCATGTGCAAGAAAACTGCAATTCAAACCAAAATGTTGATCAATGTAGCATCTGGTAAGTAGAAACCTTTTATCTCTGTGGGTTGATGGTCAGTAATTACGTAATTCCTGCAGATCTTTCCTTCCTTGAGCTGAGAAGACTGTCCCACAGCTTACCAAAACAATAGCTCTCTGTTCCTCCTGCCATTTAATTCAGAGCCCAATATTACAAATATTCAACCCTGTTTATTCAGCACTTACTCATATAAGTAGGGTCTTGAAATTCCAAAGTAAATATTCTGGGCAAGAGAGTCTTTCATTTCTTTCTGGCATGATTCATGCTGATAGAACTAGTAATTACTGAAATGGTAATAAAAATGTTACTGCTGAACTGAAACAAGAGGATGAAAGTACAAAGACAAAGAGATGTGAGGAAGGCTATGCAAGGTGATTTAATGGGGCATTCTTTTAGTTATTTTGAACTTGCTTTCACTGTGACTTGGCATATAATTGCTTCATGGTTTTTATTATCGTTTATTGTAAATTCTTGCAGATATTTTTCAATTGTAACAAAACCATTCCAAAGACTATGTGCTGACATCACAATGAAAAAATAATTAGGATCTAACTGTCTGGTCTCCTCAAGATGTCTGCCGTGCATTTGAGGGTGCTTGGATAGAACAGTTCACTGAAAACCCTGTTTATATCTTGTCTTTTTTTCTCAAAGGCAAACTCTTAAGAAGCTCATCTTAGCATTGAAGAGGAATGTTACCTTTTCTTATAGCCCTGTGCTTTAGCCTGAACAGAATACAGCAAATGAGGAAAATGGGGATTAAAACTGATCCTTAACTTTTATGCACTTTTCCTGCCAGTGAATTTCAGCATAGTTGACATTGTGTCAGGGTTATATGTTTAAGCTATTTCTTACTTCATTTTCAGAAGTTAATGGTCCAAATGAACTCTAAAAGCAAGAAAGAAGAAATTGAAGTGGATGATAAAATGGAGGCTGATGTGTCAGATGAAGAAATGGCCAGAAGGTACACTATTCCTAGGCAGTATTGATTATATCTTAAAATATGTGATATATTAGGTATTATGTGCAGGAGAAGAAACAAACAAACAAAAAAAAAAAACAACAACAAAAAGCATTTAATACTTCAGTGATTTCTCAGGATTTTTGGTGTTTGTTTAGTGAAATCTCTATCACTTTGGGGGTTAAAATCTCGTAGATGTTTTCTGCCTTTTGATATCCCTATATTCCATTCTAATACCTCCTAGCTCCAGATTACTGCTCATTTTGACAGCTTAGGTTTGTTAGTAATTTAATCCGTGATCATGTAGTACTTGTGCTTCTTAAACGTCTAATGACAGGCTTTTTATACTACTTGAATTGTTGATTAGATTTGTGATTTCCTGCATTGAACTTGCACTGATTTCAGTAAAAGCTGACAATTTTTAATTATCTTTACAGATATGAAACATTAGTGGGAACAATAGGGAAGAAATTCTTGAAAAAAAGAGACCAGCGTGTTCTTCGTGATGAAGATGAAGATGAGAATAGTAACTCAAGACCTAAGAAAGCCAAGAAAATGTTCTTAAAACCTCAGGATTAATGTCAGCTGCACAACTGGAGCTGATAGAAATGTTATCTACCAAATATAGTACCATGAACCGAAGATTGTTTTGAGTTTTTGCTATTTAATGTAAAGGATAGAATTGTAAATCTGAGTCTGTTCTCATTGAAATTTCTGCCATCCACATGATGAACATTTTTAAAAGTGGATGTGTATATAATGGATGTCATACATCCTTTCCTCTCTGAGCAGCTTTTAACGTGTGGGGCATTAAGCCCATCAGTCATTTTTAATGTTGTGTATAACGAGGATGAGTGTCAACGTGCAATCAAGAGCAACAGTATTTACATTTTATGATAACATCTAAAAGAAATATTTGCAGTGAAGAGTAGCTTTGTCCAATCCGGTAAGGCAGTTCAGCTTTCACTGCTATTTTTATTATGAAAATGAAAACCTTTGCTCTCCACAATTTGAAAAAAGTCAGCAGAAACATGCATCTCTTTTTTTTTAACTGTTCTACAAATAAGCTGGAAAAAGAACAGATACAAAATCCATTTTGTTGAATTTTCTGTTTTCTATAAAGCTTATTTAAAAATAGAGGGGTTTGTAGCAAAAAAATCTTTTTTTCTAGAGCAAGCCAAATATTGGGCAACGTTTACAGTTTGACAGTTGAGCAGATTGCGACTCTTAATTTCTATCTTCCAAAAGAAGTTTGCTAATCTTGTCTCTTTTTCAGCCAAAAAATTCCAATCTTATAATTATCTAGGTCTTGTCATAAAAGCATAATAACAGCTTGAAAAACATGTTTGAAAAGTGAATAAAAACTGATTTTTTGTGTGTTTAATGATTGTGGTTTAGCTAATTTAAAGTAAAAAAATGATACTTAATACAATCAGAAGAAATCCTGTTTTGTGCTGACCACAGATGTCCCCATGTATTAATTGACAGAGTTAACTTTTCCTGTTCAGCATGTAGTGAAGCCATCTGAAGCAGAAAACACCATGGCCTTTAGTCACTTAGTGCCCTGAACTTACTGAAAAAGGTAACTGTGGCCTTGTCTAAATTCATAGCAGTTCTTTGTATTCTAGTTTTCAACGAGTTCTATTAATTTTCTCAGCTAGATATCTAAATTGCTCATCCTTAATGCTGACTCTCTGAAGAAAGATTTTGTTAAATTGAAGCAAGACATGAAACTCAACATAAAGACAGAGGCTGTGTCTGCTGTAATGCATGTATGCTATATGAACTATAATTCATATACCAAGAGCAGCTCATTAGATATTCAAGATGGATCACGCATGGAAAGAAATACACTTTTAACCTAGTATGAGCCTTGTTCAGGTAGAAAGCCTGATTCATGATCTGAGATAGTTTTTCAGAGCTAATTAAATGCTACTGGTTCAATTACTTAAAATTTGATCATATATTATCACTAGTTGAAAAGAAGTTAATGACGGCGAGACATTCCTTTTCCCATGGAAGATGTGACATGAGTTAAGAAATGATTTATTATTGGTCATCACAAGAAAAACTCAGAATATATCCCATTACTCTTATTAGTAGGAAAATCATTCCCCTCTATGTGAATACATTTCTTCAATGGAGAGAGAATTTCTGCAAAGTTTTGTGGGATAGTTCAGGGAGAAAACTACCAGTAACCACGAGGTGTCACTACACTTGCACTTCCCTGAGAGAAAGTGGATTGGAGAATGTTTCAGGTGACATCATGTACAGAGATTTTTGGGTAATTTCAGTAATTACTAGCAGTTCAGATGAACTCTGTGAAGTCTTGCTTGGTCGAGGCTCTGTGCAGAGAGATTCTATTGTATTGCAGAGTTTTGTTAAATCTGATGGGGTAATTTTGTACAGCTGAAGTGTGTTCTGCCATACACTGGTCCTTATATTTTAAAGGTACCTAAGTGCCCAAAGTTGCAAGGATTTAGAGTTGTGATGGGGTCTTCTGAAATGCCCATCTCTATTTTCAGCTTTGTTGTGTGTGTGTTTAAATTGGGCTCTAGCTTCCTAGCCAAGGTAGAAACATTTTGCTGTATAAAATTAGTGTTTAAACTACTCTTGACAGAGATACAAGTGTAGTGGTGAAATATTCATAATGCAAACCGACATTAATTCAAGCTTTCTTGGCTCTGATAAGTCTCAAATGCAGATCTGTTTTCATGGACAACTTCCTAAGCAGTAGAATTTTAAAAGCTACAGGTTTCTAAATGAAAAGTATTTTTTTTCTCAGAGCACAAAAGCAAGTTGGGATTTTTGTTCAAGCTTAAAAAATAAAACACCACCAGCAAAATTTAGTGGATAAAGAGTTGCCAGACACCAGAAGCGTTTGTGTCTGTTACACTAAGGTAGCTATTAGAGTGAACAAGCAGTGTGTTGTAGTTTGTGCTTGCTGACAGCTCAGCGTTAAGTCTAAGCATGCCTCCTGACAGGTGGAATCTTTGTCCCTCCCTTTGACAGGCTGACAGTGCTTGTTTCTGCAATGACTGCTGATGTTGGAAATGTGCGAATGGAACAGCATCTTTCTTGTTGATGCTTCTTCTTTTGTTACTTTTATTCTGCTTTGAATTGGATCTTGAAAACTACTGGACGAGAGTCCAACTGCAGTGAGACATGCTGTATCTTCCCTTTAGTAATGCATGAGCTGCTTAAACTTTGATTCTTTGGGGAGGGGGAAAGCTGTGCAGTGGTGCCATGGAGTTTGAACTGCGTTTCTTCCGTTGTGTGTCGTGTTTTCTAATAAGACTCCATTATACAATTACACAATTGTGGATGGCTGTCGTTGCCATTGGGCATTGTGTGTCTGTAATGGGCAGCTGGGCTGGGATTCTGGGAGATGGTCCAGAATTGAGACTTAAAAAGAAATTTTCTGCTCTTTTTGTTAATTGGAATGCAATGCTTGTAAATTTTATTTGGAATTATAAAGGTCCTGGGTGGGGGGTTCTATATGTGTGCTCTGCTTCATTCGAACAACAGTCTGCAACTAAATCTGCACGGTAGCTTGGGCTCTCATTAAACCTTTCTTAAAGAGAGAACATTAATAAATAAGGTGTAGTAGTGGTGAAGGATGTCAAACTGCCGTGCAGCTTTGAGATCAGTGTTTTACTTCTGCATGTGGATGCAAGTTTCTCTGAGAGCTGATGTTTTAAGGACTTGGTTGTTGTTGTGGTTTTTTATTATTATTTTTAGTCTAGGAGAGCATCTGTCTTCTCCAATAATGCCTTGCTAATGGAACCCCAGTATGAGGCCTCTGGGTTTGATTTTGTTTGCTGTTTACACCATTCTCATCTCAAACCTTTGAGACATTTTGGGTCTAACATTCACACCTTAATATCTTCGGGCTTTCATCATCAGCTTTTGGGGAGCTTCAGTTAAACTGTGAAACTGTTCCTGTGCGTGTTAACACTTCTTTGTGTGATTTGATGCCGCACAATGAGGACCTGGTTATAACTGTTGCACAGAGAGGAAAAACCCATCTCAGGGAGTAATTACCAACAGACGGAGTCAGAGAGAAGGTTAAAGCTTCAGATGTTGGCAGCCCCATAGATCTTTAGCAAGAACAGAATACTAGAAAGGGGTACCTGGGTTGAGTCCCATCTTTCCAGGCACAGTTAAAAATGTCATTATAAATCCATAGGGCTCTGCTCCAGGAACCTTTGCACACCACAACCTGAGCAATTACCTGGGAGCAATAGTAGGACCATCTCTAGAGAAATACAGAGGCAGAATAACCTGTTCACGGCTGTCCTCAAGACAAGAGGCAGCAGCACCAGGAAACAGCTGTAGTTCATTGCATATGATTATGGTTTGGTGACCTGGGTTGAATGCAGATGGGAATTTCTGTCAGCTAAAATGGAGGTGGTAAGTGTCTCCAAGCTCAGAGTGTTCCTTGGGGTCTTGAGGAACAGCTTATTTTGATCAATCATTTAGAAAGGAATAAAAACCCTTAAAGAGACCTTAATATGATACAGTAATAAGAACACATTATAGAACAACGTCCTTAGTTCCGTTGTTTATAGAAATAACTGTGTTCCCACCTCAGTAAGATCTTTCAGCATCCTCAATCACCTCCCACTTGGTCCTTGGTTCCTTGTCCCTGTGCCGGCATACATGCACCCAGGTCATCAGGTGTCACCACCACTGATGAGCAGGGAAGAGCCAGCACACCCCAGGGCCAGCCCGGAGCTGTTGGCTGCTCAGCCCCGCAGTGATGGAGTTGGCTATGGGGACTCCTCTTCAACCTACAAGTTCTCTTTCCTGGAACTCGTAGGAAGTTTACCATCTCCAATTCCGCTGTAAAATTTGTTCAGTATCAGTGTGTTTGGCTCAAGAAGTTTGTGGTGGGGAGGGCTGACCAGCAGATGATAGCACGATTGCACAGACCTCATTTACTCAGCTAACGGTGCATAAAAGAATCATGCAGTTTCTTGGGGGGAGGCTCAATTTACATCAACTCTGTTTTTATTTTCCTTTATTTTCAAATACACACAGTATTTGTGAGATTTTTGATCAGATAATGTCTTTGAGCAAAAATATACACCATCAGTGAAAGGAATGAGTGTTTTACCAATACTATTATCATAGGTGGGGGAGAAAAAGTAGAGAAAGGGTGTTTTTCAGTATTGCTGCTACTCTTTCATGCACTTGAGAGCATTTCCCCTTTCTTAGTGGTTTACTTGGTCAGGGGTTTTGCAGAAAAGCGTGGTGGGGAAAACAACTTCTTTTTTTTTTAATGTGGAAATGCAATTGTAAAATAACTTTTAAAGGAACGAGTTCATTTAGATTTGGTTGGCACCTGGATATATATCAAGTCAAGAGTTGGACTTGATGATCCTTAAGGGTCCCTTCCAACTCAGGATATTCTATGGTTCTATGATATATATTTTTCAATTCAATACAGATGAAGAAACTAACTTGTGACACTAAAGATCTTGTGCTAAGTGTTAATCATTTACGATAGTCATATGGACTCCCATATTTGCTACACAAAGAGGTAGCAGGGTAGAATTAAGGCTAAAGTGGGGTGGGCTTTCTTGTTCTTTCACCTTTGTTATACAAAGACCTTGCAATACTAAAAATATTACATTTCTACCCCATTTGGGATAGAACTAAATCTAAGGTAGTTGAGACATTTAAGCACCATTCACCCCTTTATAGGGTGCTTACTTATAAGAAGCAAAGAGTGTTGGGTACATCCTCAGAATCCATCAGCCACAATAATGCTGCAACACATACAGTTTGCATCGACTGAAAAACACCTACATACCAAAAATTACCTTGGGCAGTTTACTGCCGTAACGACAAAAGGGATGCACATGATGATAATTTTCATTTTGTACTATATTTTCACCTAAGGATGATGGTGGAAGAATTACACCTCCTAATGTTCCTTTCAAAGATGGCAATATTGTTCAACCTATATTAAAGGTAATGAGATGAGCAGTGAGTGGTTAGATCTTGTGAAAAATGAAGTTTTAAATGCATACTTCATTGTCTAAAAGCTCACAGATGACTTTTTTCCTGTAATGACCATAGAAAATGTGTTGGCAGCATATCACAATGAATAATCCTTACTCCTATTTATGTGCTATAGGCACTCCAAAATTACCCAGACATATTTCTTACCCAAGTTTATAACCAGATTCAAATCAGTCCTACATTTGTGCCAAAAATTGAACTGCAGTCATCTCACAGAAAATAATTCTATCTACCTGACAGACGAGTCTTAAATCCCTGATTTTCTCCTTTCTCCAGAGTGAAATTCACTTTAATCTGGTATTAATGTATTTTTCCTTCAGTCGCCTGCAAGAGAATCCCATAATCTCGCCGTAGTGATTACGTAGACCATGGAAGATACGGTGCACATGTGGCATTCTCATAGGTTTTTCCAGTCGTCTAGATTGTGTAAAATCCTTTGACGTTAATTGGGATAAGTTTTCTCTCTAACGTGATGTTGAACTTCTCTTTCAGTGTCTTCTCCACCTCTTCATCTTTAAGGGTTATAAATTCCACCAGATCCATGTTCTCCTTGTAATTGTACGTGGTCTCCGTGAGCGTCCACCCAATGAGCGCTCGAAAGCCATCGGTGGTTTGGAGTGTGCAGATAGACTTCTTCGTAAAGAGGGAATCTGGAGATGTCTGAAGGTACGTACACTGGAAACGGAAATCTTCCACTGTCCGTGGTTCAAGACTGAACATATACACTTTCCGACACTCTTTTTTCTCTAGAAGATCAGAATTTGAGAAATTTTGATTGGGGATATATTGTTTCCGTCTCATTTTCTCAAGGTACCAGGTGGCATTTTTTTCTGTGAAACGAAAGACACCGGGCGCCTGGGGCTGGTCTTTCCCTGACACAAGCTCCATCGGCTGCCACATTTGATAGGATACACCAAAGCCTCCATCAACAATGTAGGCTTTTCCCATCAATAACTACCTTCACTAGGAGATGGGTCATGATGTTGGCATATGCGTTTTCGTGTGGGTTGAACACGTACGCTCCCAGAAAGCTGGCGTCGTACCCCAGGCATTTCAGGACCCAACCTAGCAGCTGGTTGTTTTCCATGCACCAGCCACCACGCTTCCTCCGCACGATTTTGTTATAAACGTGCTCCAACTCCAAAGTAATTTTCTCCCCACAATGGATGCTGAGGTTTTCAAATGGAACAGCACGGATGTGGTGCTGGAATATATCTGTTAGAGTTTCCAGATCTTGATTTTCAAGGGAACCTTTATACCCGGTTCTTGCAAAATATTCTTCAAGGTTCATGTCTCCTGTAAAGGAAGGAAATGCATTTTGGTTTTGTTTCTTTACATCAATGATTTACAATGCTGTGAAGAACTGCCCAGGCTGCTGCCAGCAAAGATGCTTTAATCTACTGAACCTCATCAGAGAGGTTTTTAAAGGTAACAAGTATTCATATCAAACGGTTCCCAGCGCACAGAAGAGCAGTGCATGTCGGGGTTTGCTTTTTGTCTTAGTCATCCCTATGGCAAACAGCTGATGCAATTGCAGCTTATATATGCAATGGCTGCGAAACAGGGATTTGCTGTATTTGCTGGGTTAAGAAGCGATGTAAGATCACACTAGGGAGTGTTCAGAACATTTCATGAAAAACAGTCTAAATCCACTGTTCAATGAAAGGAGTGCCAGTAGGGGAAGCAGTGTTGTCTGCCAGTTGGAGGCAGAATAATTTGAGCCAGGATTCACATGTTCTTTTCATGAGCGTGCCACTGGCCTGTGATCATAAATGAATGGCTTGTTCACCGCGTGTCTCTTCTGCCTCTGACAAAAAGTGAAAATGATACTCCCTGCACATTTTGTAAAGTGTCAAGTTTTATTCGGATAATTACAGCTGAAAAAAACCTCTGACCTATTCAAGAGTTGCGGACCACTGTGTCTCTTGTCTGCTCTGAGTGTTGCTAAAACTCATTTTGGTGTTGGAATAACAAAGGTGAGTGACCTAAAAGACAAAGAGCACATCTTCTATTCCCCACTGTGCCAGCGTCTCTTAGGGTGTCATAAAAGTGGACGGTGTGTGCCTTACAGCTCTCTAGTCCTGGCCTTTCCCAAAACTCACTTTATTCCTGCAAAAGCAGACATAACCAAGCATTTACTGAAGCCTGATACATTGCATCCCTGGTCTGTCCTGCCTCTAGCAATGCCTGCCTCCTGGCCTGGCTTGGTAGGACTCCTCATGAGCAAAATTGCTGATGAGAAACTATTCAGCATGCTTTCTGCCTTCTAATACCATGGAAAGTCATGCCGGTGATCTGGTTTTCACTGATGACCCATTGCAGTCTGCCAGCCATCATTATGAGTCGGCCACTCTGTAGGTATCTGATAAGATACTGTTTGTAAAATATGTTGTAGATTGTCTGCTTGGATATAGGGCTGGAGATAAAATGTTTTGAAGGCTTCAACCTTTACAAAGAAAGCACTAAGTATTTCAGCAATCCAGAGTTACTGCAAATATTTAGCTTCTAGACAGCCTGCAAAGCTACTTGAAAATCTTTTGTGCATACAGTAAGCTGAGGTTTAGACACTTACTATTAGTGACTCAGGAAGTCTATTGTATTCAAATAAATTCAGCAGTGAACCACCGAACGTTTAGTGCAAGCTAGAATTTCTCAAGATGATTTTCAGTGACAGATTTATGATGTGCATATGGATGTTATAGAAGCAGCTGTCCAAAGTGAATGGAGAGCCCCATCAAAAACTGCATGTTATCTTCTACAGAGGGAATTTAGCTTCCAGTGATATTTAAGTGCATTGTTGGAGGATATTCCAACGTAATCCTTGTTAAGTAGAACATAAACTTCTGGGACTTTCTCCTTTTGATTTGCAGAATCTAAGTCTATGTGATCCTACCCGGTCAGATTGTGAACATGAAGTAGATCACACCAGCATAAAGTTGTATCTTGAGTTTATAATATTTGTAATTTCTCTCTGCGGTTCCATAATACGATTGATCTATGTTAGATCTTAAGTGTAAGAGATGAAAGTTACAGTTCTTTTGAATTGTGAACAGATCAGATGAAAAGCTAGCTTTTAAAAGGTAATCCTACAAATGTGGCTATGATTTATGCATTGAAAAGTGTCAGTGAAAGAACTTCCAAGGATTATTTCTAAATGTCCAAATAAAGGTGTTCATGCAAAAAATATTTCTTACTAGGACTATGCACATTATCAGCATTTCTACTGTTAAAATACGTGTCTGCCTACTTCTATCTTAATGCATCAGCACATGGGCTTTCTGGGGTAGGCAAAACACAGTCTGTAACTTCATTTTTTTCTTATTTGTTTTTTAGAGGCCTGTAATTTTATTTCCAAAAAGCAGAAGCTATTGATTATTAAATTGCTTTTTTCTTCCTTTGCATGTGCAATATTTTTAAATGAATTAAAAATCCAAAGAAAAGGCTATAGTTCTGAATTTGTATCTATTACTGCTTCTAAACAAAAGTGAATCTCGTAGTCAAGTGAATATCCACCTGAAGAGCAGTAAGACATAAGAATTGAAATGACATTGTTTTGTCCTCTTCAAGAGTCCATGTTTAGCAGGCAATATTTTAGCTCTGTATCTACATATTTTTAAAGATTTATCCTAAAGAGAATTTTGCTTGTTATTCCCAATGACCTTTACCATTATAAAGAAACCATTTTTTGTTTGTTTTAACAAAACAGACTTACCTCTTAAAATAACCTTATTTGTGTATGTTTGCAGCTTCTGGGTTGCTTATTACTGGAGCAGCAGTCGGTACAGCCAGGAGTGGATACAAATTTTGAGGGCCGTCTTCCTCTTTAAGCTCTGCTGTCCCTCACTCCTGAATCTTAAACGCCGAGAAAGGGCAGAGTCCACCCAAAGTGAATGCACATTTTTGGACTTCACTGATCCATGAGCAAATTAAACTTTGTTTCTTCTCTGTTAGTAGAAGTTTGTTTTCCGCTGGTTGAGACCAGACCGAACTTGTTTTCCATGCAACATAATTTCCGTAGATATTTACAGTGGCTCTGATTTTTTTATAATTGCATTATTGTTAGTTGGCATGTCAGCACTTTGTGGGGGAGTATAGTCTTCTGCTTCCTTCTGGGTACACTGCATTGCCAAAGAACTTCAGTCTCTGTTTTCTCAAGCTCTGCAGATGTACAAAATGACCTGTCTTTGCTCACAAAGGAACTTTCTGATCTGCTCAAAGCCTCCACTGGAGCAGGTAGTTACTTTGGAGCTGCAATGCCTAATGAACACCATGACAAATATTTATTTGCACAATGTTGTGTGAGAACAGAGTAATCCATTGCCTTTCCAAAACTTGGCCTTCTGCATCCTCACATTGTGTAGCTGTTTGATTCGCTCCTTGTCAAGCATGTCTCCTTCACTTGATGGAAGTGGAAAGCTGAAAAAAGCTGAAGTGGAAAGGGTCCCTTTGGGGAAGACAGAGAGTCTGTTGGGCTGTATCTGTGGAAGCACCTGATTTTTAGGCACACTGGCTGCCCCATCACTTGCTGTTGTTGACTGACATAAGCATCAGTCTTTTTCCTGGCTGAGGACCAATGTCGTTCTGTCACCCTCCCATTATGCATCCTGTGCAGTACCTGCCACAAGCCTCATATAGGTAAAAAGTCTGTCATATTACACCCAATGTGCTGTGAAACCATGCAGCTGGCATGTCCTAACTTCCCAGTGCTCTCTTTTGCATCTCCAGGATTTCTTCTTCCATGTAGTTTTTGTGCCGAATACTACTTGCAATAAATACAAAGCAGTTTAGCTATAATACTGTCATGCCTGTTTGATGTCAAGTTGTCAAGGAGAGTTAGGCCCCAAAAGTTTAGATTATGTTTTTCAAAGTTTGATTTAATTTTGCTTGTTTCAAAAAGTCCAAATTTTTAAGAACCAATGAAGCATCTCAGCTTGTGTTGATTTTAGTTCAGTTTCAGAGGCACAGAAAAATCATGCTGAAAGGAGCTAAAATTGGGCACTCAGGACTGGAGAGTTTGGATTTGGTTTGTTTGTTTGTTTGTTTTTAAGTGCCTTTGCATAAATAGCTGACTTCAAGCCAATTTCTAGTAAGGGAACAGGACTCAAGTCTCTCAAGTTATTTCATCAGCAGTTAATCAGTACCTAATTGTGCCTTGTTTTGAGAAAGTCTTAACTTTTTAGGAAGTCTTTGATGTCCAAATTCAGCTCGAGTCTCTATTTCAGACTGTTAAAGAAACTCAATAATTTGTAAAACTGTGTTGAGAAGATTGGAAATAATACCAAAAAATGTTACAAATCTCTTGTGTGAAATGATAATACAGACTTTTTTCCTTTGTGGCACGTGAGATCCAGAGAGGTGGAACAAAATTTCAGGGAGACAAAATGCAATATCCATATGAGAAGATTAAAGGTGTTGAGATGTTTCAGTTTCTAACGGAGAAGTTTAAGAAAAAGTACAAAGTCAGCATAGGCAGTTAATTAACAATATACTCGAATTTACCAAGCTTTGTGTTCATCTGATTAGCTCAACTTTAGAATCAGATTAATTCTATTAATGTGAATTTTAGAAGGTTTATATTGGAAATTTAAAGATCCATCTAGCGCTATTTAGAATTAGATCATATCCACTATATTAGGTGGCAAGCCACGAACATTTACTGGTACCAGTTTGTTTTCTAGCACTATATTGAATTTTTCTTTCAGTGTCTTCTCAACCTCTTCATCTGTAAGAGTTGTGATCTGCAGGAGGTCCGTGTCCTCCATGTAGTTGTACTTCATCTCCGTGAAGGTCCACCCAACTAAGGCATAAATCCCTTCAGTGGTCTGGAGGGTGCAGATTGACTTCTTCCGAAGTATGTTATCTGGAGACACTTGTAGGTACTGTGTTTAGCTCCTGGAAGTCATCTATATGGCGTGGCTTAAGAGTGAATGAATATATTTTTCTGATATTGCCCATTTCTGTTGTATTAGTGGGAGGGTCGCTTTCCTTAGGAATATAATGCTTCCTTTTGACTTTCTCAAAGTACCAGATGCCGTTGTCTTCCCTGAAGCGGAAGATGCCAGGGATCTGGGGTTGATCCTTCCCAGAAATCAGCATCACTGGCTGCCATGCCTGATAGGCACCGCCAAAGCCAGCATCTACGATGTAGGAGCTTCCCTTGATCTCCACCTTCAGCAGGATATGATTTATGTGAGCAGTGTATGCCTTCTCTGCTGGATCATAACTATTTCCTCCAAGAATACAAATGTCATACCCTATTTCTTGCAAGGCCCAGAATAAAAGGTAGTTGCTTTCCAGGCACCATCCACCACGTTTCTTTCTCACAATCTTATTGTAAATAGATTGTAAATCCAGCTCAATGGTCTCCCCACAATGCATGCTGAGGTTTTCAAAAGGAATCGCCTGGATGTGATGCTGGAAGATGGCTGTTAAGGTTTGCAAGTCTGCATCCTTGTGGGAGCCATCGTAAGAAATTCTTGCAAAATACTCTTGAATGTTCATTTTGCCTGTGTGAGCAGGAAAATAGCCAGTTACTGTTGTGCAGCTCTCAAGGGGTTCACTCCTATTTCTGCAGTGCAGGTTAACCAACCTGCAAATGTAGCTGAGGCCATTTCAGTGAAGATTTGAAAGAAAGCTGTGCCTTTGGTAGGAGATCACGCAGGTCTAACCTGCATTCTATCATCTCTATTTCTTAAGAAAGAGGTGAGGATAGGAGCAGGTAACAGTAAAGCTTTATCTCTCAGATACTGTCTTCAACCCAGGTGGGTAACTTTGCTATAGGAAAACACAGACAGCACATAATAATCTCTGGCCCCAGATGAGGGTCTGCGTGGCAAAAAAATTATAAAACTAGCAAACAACAGGTTTGCAAACAGCTGTTAGCCCACATCAGCATAAAAGTCACAGCTTTTTTTTTTTTTTCCTGTTTCTTTTATAGTAACAGGCAAGCAATTCTTTATCACACAGAAAATTCAACTGGAAATTTTTACATTCATGGTTTCATCTAACTGGGATTAACTTCTCAGCATGTCAGCATTTCAGCCAAGCTTCTATGTGAAGTAGATTGTTGTTTTCTTAATCTCTTCCCTGTTTCCCTGTGGAGTTCAGACAGTGCTTTGACCCAGGCTTTTGAAAGGAAGAGATTGTTAATTTTTCTAACCTACGGGTCAAGGGAATTGATAATTATTAAGAATGCCTTCAAGGCATATCCAGTGGCTTTTGGTTTCTTCTACTCTCTCTTACAAATCAAAGACCTTAGCCTCAGCTCAAATCATTGTATGTATTTTGTGTCTTCATGTCAGTGATCCCCTTTCTTTTCATTAGCAGAAAGTGACCGTCACTGGTACTGGCTGCATGGCTGACATGCAAAAGAGTTCCTGTAACACTTCTAATCCACTGACTCATCTGGTATCTGCAAGGATTTGTTTTGCCTTTAATTTAGATTTAATTTGGCTTTTTTTTTTTCCATGCAAGGAGATATATATTTATTATTATTATTATTATTTTTTAACCAAAACGATTTACAATCTGCTAAGGACTGTATGAAGTTCCAAAAGGTCTGTGGATTTTTTTCTCCTTGAAATCAGTCACACATTCCCTGGGAGGATTTCCCAAAAATGTGTTGATGTAGATGATGCAGGAGAGGTTACCTCGCCACAACTATTCTCAGCTTTGGTCCACCTGCCTCCCCATCCCCCCAGCAGTGACAGCAGCTCAATCCAGTGTCTGGGAGTGCAAGGAGCTTTTGAAAATCCCACCTCAGATATGTAAGTGGAAATACCCTTGTCCAGGAAGGTAAGCACATCAGAAGACCTAATCTCTAGACTTTAACCCCAACTGTGATGCCAGCAGCGTAACTCACTTGATTTAGTTGTATTGCTGCTGATTTGTACTAGTACCAACAGTCTGACTGTATGACAGGAAAATATGATAAAATCAAGTACTATCATAATAAGGGAGTAAGAAATAAACATTTTAATTTCAAAAGGACCAGCAAAGCTACATGAAAAAGCAGTAATGCAATTTGATATTATTGTTTGTTTTTTTTCTATCCCTTTATAAGGACAAGGGCACTCATCTCTGGCAGGATCTCCTTGGAAACACTATTTGTAGAAAGCCATGCCCCCCGATAGATGCAGACACACGTTCTTGTACACTGCCAAGGCCATCCTGTGGTGCTCTGCCCTGTTTTTCTCTCTATTCCCATTTTCAGCCATTCTACACAGCCAGATAGAAACATCTATTTCTCACAACAGTGCCAAGCTTCACATCTTTGTCCAAAAGGGGCCCGAGCGAGTCCCTTAGCCTGGCGGGTCTCATAAGCTTGACATTTTCTTTTGGGCAAGTGCCCATCCATCCATGCTCCAGGCCAGTAGCCAAAGCCCTGGTGCACTCCCTGTAGCTCATCTCTTGGGTCGGGCTCCCTGAGGGCCCTGGTGCAGGGACAGCACGGTGTATGAGCAGCCCTTCTGCCAGCCGTGGGCACCTTCCCGGGGGGTATACACAGCAAAGCTTTGAGAAAATGGGCTTGGGGAAATGCATAGCCCGTGCCTCAGTTTCCCCAGCTCGAAACCTCATTGATTTAATAGAGGCTGTGTAATAAAGATAGGCCTGTGGTTGCTGACAAAATAGGCTCTGATCTCTATTAATACTGAAATAGGTATAAGAAGGATAAGACTGCAGTACAAAACCATGAGTGCTAGTGAATATAGGCAGGTAACAGCCACGTAAACCACAGTTCCCTCTCTTGGCCTCCCGGAGGCAGCTTTTTCTTCCCAGCACAACTGTTACCACCCCAGCAGGACTGTAACACAGCACAAGCCCTTGCCCAGGGGATGGTTTGCATCCCGACCAGGCTGCCAAATAAATCTTTTCACCCCAACTCAGACCTGGGTCTGGTTCGCTTTTGCTCACACAGCAGCCGAGTTCCATTTGTGCGTGTTCACAGGAGCAGCTCAGTGGGCAGCAGGATGCTGGCAGGAGTTGTGCCTGTCTGCAAGCCTCCCTGGGGATCACTGAATCCTTTCATAATTCACCTCAGTGGTAGGAACAGTTCTTCGCTGCTAGAATTCAAGAGAGACTTCCAAGGTAGGATCCTCTTGCACATGCCTCTATGATTTGTTTGATTTTAAGCTGCATTGCAAGACAGGAGCCGGCTTTTTTGTATGCTCTGGCTCAGCACAAAACAAAGTTAGTCTCGAGTGCTTGATCTTTGTACTTTGACAATGGCCTCACAATGCTACGTGTGGAGTCGACCCCGGGGTTGCTGTAATTTATACCTTGCTAACATGCCTATAGTGCCTAAGCACACGGTATGCAGACACACAGGGGTGGGCTTTTCCAGCTGGTCTGACCTGCAGCTATGCACTGGAGTTAGAGCTCAGACAGACGGGTGCTTACCTCTATGCCAGGAGCCGCAGGCTTTCTGGGCTGGCTTGCTCCAAAGTTCCCAGGAATGATTGCACCAGGCACTGCTGCCCTTAAAGATCCAGGCTGCCTTTTGCTGCCTGGCAGGGGCAGGATTTTCCTCCAGCAGAACTGGGACAGGATAGCAGATGGTTTTGTCTTTTGTCGTATTTTATGTTCTGGTGGCCTTATTGCTTTCGTTGTTTTGACATGTGCACAGAAAGCCCTGTCGTGCAATTAACTGCGGTAGGAGCTATACAAAAAGCCAGCATATGATGCATTCCCCAAATTGCTTACAATGTTGAGTAGGCTTAAACCACCCACGTTACTGATTGAGAGCTGAAGCCTTCCAGGAACACACAGAGCAGTACAGCACAGGTAGCACCTTGTGCAAGTGGCTGTCAGCCCATACACAACCCCTTAGATCATCCTGATGCTTCGATCTCCGGGGCACCTTGCTGGTTGCACCCACTCTGAAGCTGCAAAGCAAGCATGCAAATTTTGGTACAGCTCTAACATTGGTGACACTGACATGGCCTTGTTCCCTGTAGGAAGCGATTTAGGACTAATAGCTACTAATCCAAGCCAAGCAAGTCACTGATAAATTGGCAGGGGGTGGCAACTATAGGATTAATCGCAGAGCACCGAGTCATTCTTGGCGGCAGGTGCCGGCCCCCCAAGCAGCAAGGCCCAGTTTGCCAAGGCCTTCAGCTGTCCGAGCCCCTGCAAGCCCTGTCTTCAGTCAGCGAGGATGCTACTGCCCAAGCACAGCACTCCCGGAGCCCGCTATGCCTTTAAGGATTTGCCTCTGAAGTCTGTGATAAGGAAAAAAACAAGCTAGTGAAATCTGAGCTGAAGAGGCTCTTTTTTTCCTCCTGGCAGAGCTGCATGTGATTTCTCAGGGCCAGAGGTGCTGAGCTGTGCCAATGGGCCGCAGCCAGGGCATGCACCCTGGGGGCTGAGTCAGCTGAAAGGACAGCGTTTTTTTTCCTATTACTGGTTGCCCTCTGCGTGGTGCATCTCTGCAGCGATGAGCTAAGCCCCCTACCCCTTCCCCTGGGACAACAAAACAGACCAAAGCATGAGAAGAGGCCAGGCACGGGGTGCTTCCCAGGCCTGGGTTTCCACAGAGGCCTTGCAGCTGCTGCCTGCGCCTCCATGCAACCTGCCTGTGCTTTCAGGCTGCCTCCATCCCACAGCTCTGCCCCAGCCACCAGGCACTGTGGGGGTAAATACATCGGCTTTGTGCAGCTTCCAGACCAGCAAGATCCTGGGACGGGCAAGATCCTGGGACCAGCAAGATCCTGGGCACAAACATTTAATTTCTCCATAGGCTGGGGGAGGCCCATGTGCTATAAGGGACCAACACATGGAACCAAGCACACACAGATGCGTTTTGGGCAGATGTGGACTTGGGGAACTAGCTGTGTTGCTAAGAAATGCATTTAGAAGGTGCAGAATAACAGCTGCTTTTATTAACTGTAAATTTCTAGTTATAGGAAGCTGCACACGATTCATAACAAAAAAAAAAAAAAGGGACATCGAGTCCTTGTATTCTTAAAAGCCTTGGCTGCAAAACATCAGCATATGCAAACAATCAGGGCAACTGCAGTGATTAATGATTTTTTTTACTTTTTTTACTTAGAGAATAAAGGTTGCAGTATGGGTGAAAAAAAAAAAAAAAAGAAAAGAAAATTTCACAATTTTTTATATGTAATTCTAATTCACTTACATGATTTACTTAATTGTAAGTGCATAGTTGTAATGCTTCTGTGATTTGTACATAAAGGAACATCAAGCATCATCTCAAAGGGCAAAGTGATTACATTTGTGTAATTTCTCATACTAAAAATCTTAGCCTTTAGGTATCTGATTAAGATTCATCGTTTTTCCTTATATCAATATAATTAGTACCACTGCAAACACATTCTCAGTCAAGCAGATATGTTTTGGAAAAATAACTCTGTGCACTTGTTTAAATTCAGTCAAAATAACTGAGGTGCAATAACATTTGGAGTAGGAGCAATGCAAGGAGAGTGCATTCCCAGCAGTCCTCTGCTGGGTGGTAACAAACAAAATCCATGGGCGATGCTTTCAGTTTGAAGAAATTCTGCTTTTTGGTTATGTCACTGGAAGAACAGGAGTCATGTAAAGTCTGAAACAAGGCAAAATTGTCTCCTAGCATTTCTCATCACTGGTTTTAGGCCATAAAAAGCCCCTTGGTACTGGAGGGACTGTCTGACTGCTATGTGAGAGGGTGCTAGGAGTGCAAAAGCACAATGGAGAGGCTTATGGCTTACTGTAGCAAATGGCACTGGATGTCTTTATTTTTCTGGCTATTACATTTCAAAAAATAGCATAGTATTCGTTTAAGATGTGGGTATGATTTTCCCCAGGTGGCAGAGCAAAGTAATAAGGAAAGGGACATAGTGCTCCATCGCCCTGCCCTGCTGCTCTGGTATCGTGGGAAAAGCTTTTAAGAGATGAAAGGAGCAGGGAATGGGCAGCGTCTGCTGCCAGCTAAGCACAAACAGAAGGGGAGCGATTTGATTGAGTGAGGAAGAAATTATTTGTACCCAAACCAAGGAGAGATGCAGGAACAGTTGTGAAAATCAATTTATTTTCCAGATTCATGCTAATCTGTTCTGCCTTACACTGGGGATAGATGGAAAGAGAAAGCTTAACCTTTAGATGCTTGTCAGAAAAGAGGGGGGAGAATTGCATGTAATGCCACTAGATTGAATTATAATTCAGACAGTGACTTAAAACAGAGACAACCTGCTTGTATTGATGGGTACAAATTTCTTATCTAGTGTTATATTGAATTTCTCTTTCAGTGTTTTCTCCATTTCTTCGTCTGCAAGGATTCTGATTTCCACCAGATCCATGTTATCCTTGTAATTGTACTTTATCTCAGTAAGTTTCCAGCCAACCAGTGCCCGGACCCCATCGGCAGTCTGCAGGCTGCAGATGGACTTCATAACGAAGAGCGAGTCTGGCGCAGTCTGCAGGTGCAGGTTGCGGGCTCTGAACTCTTCTATATCTCGTGGCTGGAGGGTGAAGAGATAAACTCGCCGGCAGACTTCTTTGTCCACGTTATGAGATGTGGAGAAGCTTTGGTTGGGAACACACTGTTTCCTTTTCACCTTCTCAAGATACCAGATCCCATTCTCTTCCAGAAAGCGGAAGATGCCAGGAGTCTGAGGCTGATCTTTCCCCGAAATCAGCTCCATTGGCTGCCACATCTGGTAGGCCATCCCAAAACCACCATCCACGATGTAGGATTTGTCACAAAGCACAACTTTTAGCAGCAGATGGTCGATGTCATCAGCATACGCATCATACTCGGGGACATAAACCTTTGATCCCAGAAGGGTGACGTCGTACCCTAGGGTTTTCAGGACCCAAGATAAGAGGTGGTTGTTCTCCATGCACCAGCCCCCGCGTTTCTTCTTCACTATCTTGTCATAAGTGGCTGCCAGGTCCAGCTCGATGCTTTCCCCGCAGTGGATGCTGAGGTTCTCAAAAGGGACTGCTCGGATGTGGTGCTGGAATATTTCTGTCAAAGTCTCCAGGTCTGGTTTGTCATAGGAGCCCCGGTAAGAAATTCTGGCAAAATACTCTTTGATGTCCATGCTGCCTCTGAGAGAAGGGTGAAAAAAAAAAATACCACAGCTTGTGTCAGAAGTAATGCAAGGATCTTCCCTGTCTGTTATAACGGGGCTGTCATCAGAATGAGCAACCTGCTCAGAAGAGGAGCAGGGTTTGACAAATGGTCCTATCAAAGGCAGCTAAGTGCAAGTATTAGCACTGAGGGAAGCCAATGGGACACTGCTGATGAGCACAAATGTTATTTTTAATTGTTTCTTTTACAGCTGTGACAAGAGGCTCCAGCTGTGCTAAGCACATTTCAGCAGAGAGTTCCTGCCCAGCAAAGCTACAAATCTCCGTAGGAAGGAACAAAAACAGTAACAGCTCTGTTTCCCCACTAGAAATTACGGGAACTGAGACTCTCCAGCTCTGAACTGCTTTACTTGTGGTTTGACTCAGCAAAGCAGAAGCAGAAACCCTCCCTCCCCTGCAGAGCAATCTAGAGCCTCCTCTGCAACTGCATCTGAAATAAACCCACCCATCCGTGGAGTTTCCTCCGTTATTTGGGCAGGCTGGCAGAGGCCGGTCACACCTGAGTCTGCTCGGTGCTGGCAGTAGCAGATGTGACCTGGAGCACAGAATTGTTTCTACAGCCACAGAGGCAGAAGAAGATGTGGGAGATTTTTAGTTCGTCTGCTGGGATCCGCTCCCTGCGCAGAGCTCAGCTCCCTGGCCCTGTTCCTCCACCCTGCGCCAGTAGTGGGAGGAAACCAAAGTTTGGGCCAAAAATACAAATTTCAGGGGCCCCATATTTTCTGACATCAGTCTCTTTGGGGATGTACTTGCACTCATAGTCATGTTTCAGGGAGGCAGAGGTCTCCCGGGCAGCAGGCGTTGCCCTCCCTGTCCCATCTGCAGCAGGTTTAGCAGGATGCTGTGTTTCATGAGCACAAGGGAAGAAACAGCCCAAGGATCTGAGCCCTTGGTGTAGGGTGGCAAGAAATGGGATTTTAAGGTGGCCAAATATCTTTCTTATTCCACCCTGGGCACCAGTGCATTTCAGATGGCTCTGAGCATAGAGCAGTGTTGTTCAGATCATTGACCTGAGACGTCCCAAAATGTTCTCAAAGTAACTGTGTGTGGTTCTTAAGATAAAGCCATAAGAAAAAACTCTGACTGTTCCAACACGATTCAGTTCTTCATATGATGAAGAAAGTGCGCACTGAATTGTATGGGAATTTTATATAGTTTCAGTATATAAAGAAAGCAATGAAAATACAAGTTCTCCATTTCTCATAATGTTGTGGCAGGAACAGAGGGGGTTCCCAGAGTGGCTACCCACATTTAAGACACAAATGATCAGAAACCTGTAATTATTGTATCATGATCACCACCACATCTAAGAGATTCTAAGCACAGGCCTGAATTATCAAACACCAGGTAAAGAGTATCTGATCATTATTCTGTGCCTTCTCTTTCTTCCATTTCTGCCTTGTTCCCAAGCTTTTCCCCAAAGAATCTGCAACTCTGTTAATTTTTGGAGATGGACTTTGCAGAAACTTAGTTCTTGCAGTGGGAACAGAAAGCTAGCTTCACTTCCCCCTCCTTTTTACTTCCTTTCCTTCACTTTGCCAAAGTAGGTGAAACCTCTGTATTGTATTAAACCTTTGTGTTGGTTTTTTTGGCTTTCTGTGTTTCATGTAGTTGTTTATAAGGCCCTTTCAACAGCTGTAACTGAAATATGTCAGATGGCACCAATGCCCGAGCTGTTTGAGGCAGATAACCAAGTAAATAAAGCAGCATATCTAGTACACTGACGTAAAAAGAGGCATCTGTAGCTGAACATTTCTCTCTCTGCCGTTACACAACCTAGACATTTTCTGCTGTGTTTTGTCTTCAGTCATATTTAACTTCCTGGTTATGAAGTACTCAGTTGCCAAAACTGAAGGTTGAAAAAAAGGTCTTACCTGGAAAATCAGTTCAACCACGAACGGATCTCCTGGGGGGGATTTGTTAAAGGTAAAGTAAGCAGCGTGGTCCTCTGTCCTTTACCTGGTGCAGGCAGGGGTCAAAAACTGTCCTCCAGCTGCTTTCCAGGGGAATGTCTTTTCTCTCAACTTGCTTCCACCCGCCTCTGTCAGATTGCAAAAGCTGAAAGAAAAAAAAAAAAAAAAGAAAAGGGTGGAGCACAAGAGCCGTAGTGAGCGAACAAAACCAACAGCACTGACTCAACCCGCATTCAAAACCTGGTTGTTATTAGAGTGTTTTCACTTGCTTCTTGCTGCCTGCAGTGGCTAGTTTGAGCTGTAACAGATAATGACAAAAAGCTAGCCAGATGTATGTGGGTGATACAGAGCTTCCCCAGGTATTGGGTTACTGGTTGTTCGGGAACTTGGGGAATATTTCTTGTAGGCATTGAGCCTGGGAAGTTTTTTCCACTCTGAAAAGCAGCAAAATTTCTGCACAGCACCCCTCTCCTCTGTCAGCATGCACAAGAGCTTCAGCCTTTGCTTAATTCATGCTTTATAATTTATATGCTTGGTTTTGTTTTTGGCTGGTTTGTTTGTTTGTTTTTTCAGTAAATTTCCTGGAGTGTAAGGAAAAGCTGGGCCAGCGGTGTGTCTGCCTTGATCCTGGCCCAGAAGTAGCACCTGAGGATGCCATCCATGGTGGTGAAGATGCCTCTGGCAAAGTGATGATATGAAGTGCCAGCCCACAGGTAGCTCTCAGTGTGATTCATACTGCTTTTCTCTCTGCATGTTTTGCTTACCCTTTTCCAAGCTAAATCTTATTAATTCTCTGATATAAACAGATTCTTCTGTGTTAATTCCCTAACAGTCCTTCACATTTAGTATCACCAGCGAGTTTCATTCAAACACAGATTTGTTGGGATAATTAGCAGAGATAATAAATCAGAACAAATAGAGAGGCCTGTGGTAACCCATGACACAGCTCCCCTGCCATATCAAAATTTGGCTCTTTATCATACCATCGGCGTCCGGTGTTTGACTCCACAAACAGAATTGATGCCCAAAGTGAGAGACACTCGAGGGAATGGATTACTTGCCTTTCTTGGGCTCCTCTGGGCAGGTCCAACTTGGTGAAAAGAGAAAGCCTATATTCCTAGCCAGATCTTGCTGTGCATGGAATAATCCATTCTCTTCTCACAGGCTTCATTTTGACAAAGAGGAGCCAAAAGCCAGGCAGGCAGACCCATGGCGCTTGTGGGAACCACACTGAGAAGAAGTCCACACTCCCCAGAGCCCCAGGGACTCCAGATGGTGACAAAAGCACCATGTTCCCTTGGGCAAACATGGGGGTATGGGATCAGTAGGAGCTAACACGAGGTTCCTGAGAAGACACAAGTGTTTCCTACCCAAGCAGGTACAACCCATTTCTTCTCATACTTTGATACCCAGTTTTCCTCAGCGTGTTTTCCCTACAACGTAGCCCTGATGGAACAGTTTCTTCCCACATCTTTCAAATACTCAGCTCAGCTCACTATCCCATGCCTTTGTTCCTGAATCACTCCTTTTTGCTCCCCACTCTCTACCATTTGCTCCTCAATCCATTAAAGCCAAGAAGTCTCATCCTCCCCGGGTGCACCAAGGCTGTCAGAGGGCAAAGCTCACTCAGTGAGACCTGAAGGTAAGGGAAAGCTCATCGTGACCCAGAAGCCGTGCCAGAGTCTGTTTGCATTTCAGCTGTGTGCCAAATCATAGTGGTTCATTTCAGGCTTGGCAGGGCAATAAACTGCAATAACTGCTGATGGGCAAGGCGCCTGGACGTGCTGCACATCTCCACCTGAGCCCATCCCGAAAGATGGCAAAGGGCAAAGCCCAGCCCGAGTCAGGGGGAGCGCGTGGCCAGCAGTGACCTGTAACACATTGTCCCGGACCTGGCAGGAGGCAAAGCTCGCTGAGCTTCTTCCAGAAGAACATCAATGTAATTGCACTCGGCTTTTATTTATTTATTCATTTAAACAGCCGACAGCATTTAATTTATTACTGAAATCCTTCTCTCCTCCTGACTCTCCTTAGAGGCTGCAGCAAATAGTCCTCCCTCCCCCCTTCAGCAGAGCATTATGTGCTGCAGTGTTTGCTTGGAGAAATAAAAGCATATGGTGCCCTGTTTGGGGGAACGGTGTGCAGTCGAGTGTCTGCTCAGTGTTAAACAGCTCCCACTGCAGTGCCCTCTGTGATGGGCTGCGTAACGAAACAGGGATTGTTATCGCCTATTAGCTGGATGCTTAATATAGAAATTATGAGGTGTTCTGTTTAGCTAGTTGCTTTTGGTGGGGAGAAGAGAAGAGATGTTTAAAAGAGATTAGTTTTTAAACTAATAAAACATTTGACATGTTTTAAATGGAATAAAATCTTAAATTCTTACACAAGTTGCGATTCTTCCATCCTGCTGAACTCTGGGTGGCTGGAAAAGAAAATGCTGCACACCCTGAGCAGAGCGGCAGGCCCCATCCTACCATTTCCAAAGGGATTTTAATAGATGTAAGCTGCTCTAATACGCAAGTAGTAAATAATATTCATGGCCTATAAACATATTCATAATGGTAGGACTCTTGTGCTTTATATTCATTGCCTTCCTTGTGTAATTATAGATATCAAGCAGCTGTGGCTACATATCTTTCCGATTTGCGTCCACAGCATCCATCACGTGCAGTTTGGGGGATGTAATAAGTCCTCCCCCAGCAAAAGGATGGGTCCGATGAGAGCGGCGCCTTCAGCCCATGGGATTAGGGAAGGGAGTAGCTCTGTGGACATTGCATGGCTTTTTCTCAGCAGAAAAAGATGAGATCTCAGGTTTAGTGTTCCCACTATCTGAGGCATCTTTCTGAGGGCTGTTGAGAGTAAAAAATTATCTCTTCTCTTTATCTTTACCCTGCCAATATGAGGTTTTTCACACAAGCCAACACCAAGTATGCTAATGCAGACCAAGGAGACCGCTTCGGTCTGTGGGACCTTTCAGTCCAGAGGGTTTCAGCATAAATCTCTTAAATGTAAGTGGTCGTAATTCAGTTAAATTCCATTAGAAGGGGAACAATCAGCTTTTCTACATGAATGGCTTTATCTCATGGAGGGTTTGAAGCAACAACACACAAAAAAAGCGTATTTTAAGTAGCTGCTTTGATGAAAAATATGTCCATACATCTGCCTTTTATTTTTCCGTGAGTTGTGACTGCTGTGGTGGACAGGTCAGAGCGGGTCCTTGTCCACATCTGTTCCCAGCACCTCAGGGACACCATTCGGTTCCACATGCTTCTGCCACCCCAGTGCCAGGCTCCAGGGAGAATACTGGGAAGCACAAGTTTTCCTCCATTTCACAAGCAGTAATCACACCCTCAGTGCTCTGCTGTCTTCTCCATCTTGTATTCCACCTCCCTCAGAGTTGCCAGTGTCATCGTCAAACTGAAAATTCTGAGGAGAATTTGGAAATGAGGAGTAGTGGAGAGAGCTGAAGGGAGGATGAAGAAGACAAGGAGAGTGAGATGGTGTGAATGCACAAATGCTGCTTGTCCTGGAAGCTGGAGAAGGGGGCAGGAGGAGCACCCAACAGTCAGGTTAGCCACCTGGGAGCTTTCTGTGTCTGATGCTTCATTGCCTGCCTTACCCAGGGCTGCTGTGGCAAGTGACCTCTTTACCAGATATTTGGGGCAACCTTTGCAGAACCTCTTTGGGCTCGGTGGCCTTGTCCCCACTACCTCCTCCATGAGATGCTGTCTTACCTGGGCTCACGTACTGTTCTTTTTGTATGCCTGGTACATCCACAATCCCCATGGCCACCAACCCCACTGGTTTTTCTTTCTGAATGGTCTGGTTGAAGAAGAGCTGTTCAGCAGTTAGCATCGGCCTTCTCAGGGGTCTGGGCTGTGCAGGTCCTCATCCTGTAACCAAAATAACCAAAACTCACTCTGCCACTCTCGGACACGTTGTTCTCATGCAGCACTCCTGCCAAAGCTGAGCAGAGGGACACTGAGTCTGATGGAGGACATTGTGCTGAAGGCTGTTGGCCATCCAGAGATGTTTGGTGGCCATGACATAGGACGGAGCAGCGAGCTTGTGTTTCCCTTGGGCAACACCAGGCTGCTTGTGCTCACCTTCCCACAGCAGTGAGACCCCTGGCTCTGCCTGGGAGCTGCTGAGCACCCTGAGCTGGTGCAGCAGCCACGCTGGTGGAAGTGCAGGTGGTGGCACCTCAGTGGGCTGCCACTTTAGTCCTGCAGTGCCGGGAAGGTGGGAAGGAGCTTGTGCAAGGCCAGGCAGACCCCAGCACTTTCCCCATTGCATTTTTGGAGCAATGCTGTTACCAACCTGCATCCCTCTCCTCCATGCCAGCTTTTCCCTCACCACAGTCCCCAAAAGCACTGCTGAAAATGTTCCTTACCGTTAGGGAGGCAAGTCAGCATCAGCAGGGTCACGTGTGAGCAGTTCCAGAGAAGAAACACATCTCAGCAGGATGTGAAACCAGTGCTGCTCCCAGCTGGGGCACCGCCAGCTGCAGCCACCCAAGACGGGCACCCTGCCGGCAGGTGGGAGGTGAGCCATCCCCACCGTCACTCTCAGTGAAATGGTGGGAGGCTTTTCCCCTCCCTTCCTTAATGCTCAAACCACGGCGTTATCACTCAGCAGCACTGCTTCCGGCTCCGCTTAGCAGAGCTGAGCAGAAAGCAGCAGGACCTTCCCAAAACCATCAGGAGGTCAGGGCTGCCTCTGGGCTGCGGGTGTCAAGATGTTAGTTCTGCAACTTCAGCTTTGCAAGAAGTGCACGAGCTCCCTCTCTCCCTCTCTCCACATTTGAACACTGCATCCGCTGCCTTGAAAATATTCCAAAATCAATATGCAATATGCACCCAGAGCACTTTTGGAGACCCAGCGTGTTAATCTTTCTCTCTTCATTTCAACTTCCCATCAAGAAACTGGATATATTCCATTTTCCTGGCTTTTTGTCCAGGCATATACTCCCAAGATTAACCAGATAATAATTGCCGTCACGTTAAGCTGTGTCTGCCCAAGGGAAGTGTGACAGAGTAATGTGTAATGGGCCTCAGCATTGCAGGCTGGACCTCGAGACGGTTTCATTTCACATTTTCTAATGGGAGCCTCCGGTCACGCTATCAAAGCCCATGTGGGACATTTCTTCATGCACCCCTCTGTTACAGACATGCCACCAGGCAAAATGGGCATCACAGCAGAGCCCGTGAACAAAAGAGATGGTATATGGGGTGATACTCAGCCCCTAGGGACAGGCTTATAATTCTGTTTAATTTCACCCCATTTTCACTGTTATCAATAGCTGCTAGGCAATAGCAAGGCAATGCATTTTCCTATGCAAGGTCAGAAAGGCCTTGTGAAAATAAACATATTAAATTGGTCGATATAAAAACTAACATAAGGCATCACTTTAAAATTAGTCAGCTGATTACCTGCAAAAATCCCATACTGTTGCTAAAAAATATATATAAATAGGCTGTGCGCAGGGCACGTGTTGTTCCATCTGCTTAGGCATGGCCCACCTGCACAAAGAGGATCTGCAAGTCAACAGCCTCGATCGTTATCAGGCACATGAGTGACTGCCTATTCAAATCTGTGTACCATAGGCAAAGAATATTTTTGCAAGGTATTTCAAGAGGAAAATATTGTCAGCTAATCCACAAGTACACTGACTAAAGGAGAGGCATTTACCTGAAGGAATACTGTGGGGAAAAACATTTCTGTGAGTGGGATAAAGCAATATGAAGAACATTTCAAAGGGAAAGATTCCTTAATTTGCCTAAACAGAAAATATCTTGGCTTTATAATTTATATGTTCTCCATATAATGATCTAATTTATGTTACAGGAAAATTTATATATCTCTCTTTATATACACACATTCATGCATATATTAAATCTGAAAAAGAAAATCTTTCTCCATGTGCCTAAATGCAGCAGCAGCCACCATTTACGAGCAGTTATTTATCTTCTGGCAACAAAACTACCAAGCCCTGTCCTCAGCAGGGTAAAACTGGCGTTATTCTGCTGAAGCCCACATAGCAATGCTGCTTGCCTTCACCTGACTTCGAGCCTGCTCCTCACAAAGCTTCTCCAAAATAAAGCTGTTGTTTCAGTGAAAAAGCTCTCACTGACTTCAGTGGGATTTAGGATCAGCCCTATTTCAGGCAATCAGCCTGGAAACAAGCAATTTGAGGAACAATTACACGAGTTCTGTCATTCCTGCTACTCGGATATTTTATTTTTTGGAGAGGTAGGTGGGTGGGAAACCTTTTATCTCAGTGAAGAGTAGGAAACAGAGAGGTATAGTGACAGCAAAGAAAAAAAGAAAAACATCTGCACCTTCAGAAAACACATATTCATCACAATGCACTAATAGGAATCACAGAAATCATACGCGTTCGCAATGACAATGCCTTCCCTCCACCCCGCTGCTGAATCAGGAGCACGAGCAGGGAAAAATCGGAGATATGCTCGGGGTTGGCAGCACTCCCCCAGACTCACCCGTGCTGTTTTGGCTGTGGCAAGGAAAGTCTGGAAGTTGGGGGAAGATTCAGAAGCAAGGAGCTGGTCCTGCAGGGCCCCTCCACACCGATCCTTGGCATCCAGTAGTCCCACCATGAACACGATCAGTGGAAGTCATGTGCACGGCGCTGGGTGTTTGCAGAGAGACAGATCTTTCCTGGAGTAAAAGCACAAGGTGGTGGAGTGGAGGTTACTGTGGCAACCTGCAGCTCCTGCCTTTTCTCCCTGCTACGCTCAGGAGCCATGCTGGGGGACACTGGTGTCACAGGCTCAGCCGCTTTGGATGGCACAGACACATCCCTGGCACCAGCTCTGGCTCTGCTCTGCTGCTCCAAGTCCCTTACCCTCAACAGCATTATTTTTCCCAGCAAGGACCAGTTTGATCCTTGACCATCTGAACTGGTGAATGGCCTTTCCTGGGGGATGATGAACCTGCTTTAAGTGGCATCGGTCCTGTACATGCCAAAGTATCTGATGCACTTGAATTTGTCTCTCCCTTATGCATACACCTAAGGCATATTCTCATTCTCCAATGGCACCTGAGATGGGTGGGAATGTCTATTAGGCTTTCAGCTAATAATTAAAAGCCTGAACCTGCCTGGCTGCTGGGGACTCATGGGAAGGCCTCTGAAATTGGCTGGGAGCTTCCTTCCCAGCTTTTATTAAAAGCTCTCCTGAATGTTTCATCAGAAGAAATTTGACTGCATATTTACGTGGCCACAAATCTACCTGGTTTAAAGCCGCAAAATCAATGCTCTAAGTGCATTGCTTATCACTCTGGGTGGCTGTTCCGCTAACCTGACCATCGTGGTTTTCATCCCTTTGCACAGTGAAGGTACGGATGAGGAACAGCCTGAGGATTAACAGGAAGCCTTTGCTTTACTCCCTTTACTCCTTTTCTCGGTACCACATGGCATAGTTGAGGGAGGACTGCAGGACTGCAGGACCATGCTCAGGCTGCTCATCAGGCAGCCAAAAGCAGTAGAAAACAGCTTAATAAAATCAAATAAAATAATAAAATAAAATAAAATAAATAAATAAAATAAAATAAAATAAAATAAAATAAATAAATAAAATAAATAAAATAAAATAAAATAAATAAATAAAATAAAATAAATAAATAAAATAAAATAAAATAAAATAAAATAAAATAAAATAATATAAAATAAAATAAAATAAGAATCATGTCATTGCTCTCCCTCCGTTTGCTTTCCTCCAGCGCTGGGCCCTTGCTCGGGAAGAGCTGCGGATGCGCTGCGTGCTCCTGCCGCTGACGAGGTTTCATCTTGCTCTCCTCTCCCTGGGGAGCAGCATGTGCTTTTGGAAGCTACACACCATTTTATTAGTTCAATTCCCAGGCGCAAAAACGTCAAGCTGCTTTTATACGAACACGCTGCAATTTAGTACCAATGGCAAACTCTGCAGAAAGAGAGAGAAATGCAGACCTAGCCCGGATCCCTGTGGAAACCCACCCGCAACCGTTCCCAGCACTGGGAACTGGCTCTGCAGCATCCCTGCTACACTTTAATTTGCACCATCTCCTCCGTTTGTATCCCACCTCATTTCCTGCCCTTGGTTAATGATCTGATTTTGTGCGTTACGCGTTCAGAATGCTCCCTGGCAATAAATGTTTTATTTTTTCGCTCATAGCACCTTTGTGAAATATTTATGATCACTAGATGTCACTGTAATTTTACTCTGTCTCCAGCCCTACTGAACCAGTGTGATTCCCCATGCTCTCGTGTGCTCACTTTAAAAACCTCTTGAAGAATATATTAGTGATGAGACAAACCCCCAGCTGCTTTCCTAGTTTGGGTTTTCCTGTGGTGGAAGGCAGAGTATGCCTTGCTTCGGGCTTTGCCTGCACTTCCCCTGGCACTGTAGTTAATCACACACGTGTTAGAAACCCAGGAATGTCTATAAAAGCATTTTGCCTCTTTCATTTGCCTTTAAAGATTTTTACAGAATATGTTTCTTCAAGGTCAACAAAAGTCCACACTCCCTATTTCCCTAAACTGTTCCTTCTATGATTTCTCTGTTGTACAGTATATGGCAATGTAATTATTATAGGCATAGACATGCATGGGATTTTTATTTCTTTTTAATTGGAAACCTCAGTGCTGTGGAGTGGGATCACCTATGCATTAACCCTTTGTCTCCACCCGGTGAAGTTACCCAGTTCAGCAGGAGGACACATTCACTCCATATGCCAGGTCCCACTGGGGAACATGCCAAAAGCAGGACTTTCAAGAAAAATCTGTTATCCAGTGTACAGCGCAAAGGCTCCTGATGCAGCGCTGGTTCCAAGGAACTAAAGCTCTTTGCTGGCATCTTTTGGTGAGCAAGGAGAAGGGACGCGAGGGTCAGGGTGTCCCAGCTGCAGCACGGGTCTCACCACCTCAAAGCAGATAAATCTGGTTTTCTCTCTTTAGTTAACAAAGAAATGTGGGGAGGAGTGGAAGGAATTCAAATTTTGCTGGAGGAGGAATCTCTGTCACAGCTGTGAGGACTGGAGTGGATGAGCACCATGCAGGGCAGCACAGGGAAGACTCACAGCAGGCAAAATTCCTGCCCTTTTGCCCAGATTGTGCTGCCTGTCCAGCACCATTAATCGCAACATCTCAGACACCCTAATACATTGTGTTCTGCTACTGACTCTGTCTCACTTTTGATGAGCTTTTCTGTTCAGGATTAAATTTTTCATTAAAAAAGAGCTTAAATGAGTAAAGAAGCTTCTGGACAAGCACTTTTTTTTTTTTTTTTTTTTTTTTTGTGTGTGTGTGTGTGTGTGTGTGTAGCCATCAGAGAAGCTTTCTTGATTCCCCTGAGGTCAAGTTCCTTTCATCTTCTCTGCCAGCCACAGCATAAAACCCTAAATTTCCTTTGAATTCTGTTGATTAGTTGGAGCGATGGAGTGCTCTCTTTAGAAACTCTCCACTGCAAATCTAGCCCAACATGACGGACCACATTCTGCCTAATGAGTAACAGCAGC